GGGTTTTTATTACTAATTACGGGATAATTACTAATCTCTTTTTTAGCAAAAAGATTTAGAGGGATAGAATACAGTGGCATATTGTCATTATGTACGTTTATGGATTCACGATTTAAAGTGCAGGGATTTTCTGATAAAAATGACGCTAAAAAAACAAAAGAAAGAGTTAAGAAGCTACAAAACTATTTGCCAACATAGCGTGTCGCGTGGTCAAATCACCGAATCAAGGGGTACACAGGTATTTACGAATAGAGGTGGGTCATTGACGTCGCAAAACCAATTTTCGTAAACAAGTAACTATGATTTTTTAATAGTAGTTTCAAGTAAGAAACTACCTACATAAACAAACATAATGGCTATTATCGTTTATGTGTTTATTTATTGAAGTGAAGGAAACTAATAAAAGATTTTATTATAATTTGAAAACTAAACTAAACAATACAAATAGTAAATCGTACCTACGTTTACATTACACGTTATTATTAAATCACGAATCGCCTAAATTGACATTTAAAAACATAAGTTTTTGTACTTTACTTCTTATTAACCGTGTTTTTCTTTTATTTAAAATTAAACCTGATTTTCTACATGTGTTCACATTTACAATACTTTATGAATATAGTGGTTAAGTTAGGAGATACATGGCGATGGTTTTTCCACCATTGTAATGGACTCTCGCTACAGGTGTACGTTTAGATGAGTCATGTCCAATTAATTGATCAAAAATACACCGTGGACTTAAGTCATCTTTATCGGTTTCTTTTTCTTATACTGGTTGATTTTCAATAGTATAATCTTCTTGTTCTTTAATTATAGAAGTAACCAGCTTCTTAACTCTTTCTTTTTGTTTTTTTAGCGTCATTTTTATCAGAAAATCCCTGCACTTTAAATCGTGAATCCATAAACGTACATAATGACAATATGCCACTGTATTCTATCCCTCTAAATCTTTTTTGCTAAAAAAGAGATTAGTAATTATCCCGTAATTAGTAATAAAAACCCGTACTACGTCGGATACTATGGATGTAAGGTTACTGTTTGCTAAAATTTTATTGCAAGATTTTTGCAGGCAGGGTACCAGAACAATCACTGAACTATCATTCAAGTATTTTTGGCCACTCATTGTACTTGTTGTTTCTTTAAAAGACCGTAAAATTTGGGACAACTACGAAAAAATAATCTAGTCTTCATTATTTAGATTTGGTCTAAGTCTAAGTCTGTATTATTTAATACCGATGTGGAACGGAAATACACGCCAGTACACCGAAAATATCAAAATACAGAGAGGAGTCCGCCAGGGTTGCGTGCTGTCCCCACTACTTTTCAATGTCTACAGTGAAGCGGTATTTCACTAAGCGCTCTCAGACTCAATAGAAGGTATATCTATCAATGGAGAAGTTTTGAATAACTTACGTTTTGCAGACGATACAGTAATAATTACGGATAACAACAATGATTTACAGAACCTAATGCAACGCCTTAATGAACACTGTCATGAGTACGGACTGAAGATAAATTTAAAGAAAACTAAATGCATGATCATGACTAAATCTGCACAAATATCCAATTGACTATTGAAGATACTGCAATTAAGAGTGTTAATAACTATAAATACTTAGAAACATGGATAACATCAGATGTAGACCAAACCAAAGAAATTAAGACACGTATTGAAATAGCACGTACATCATTTATTAAACTTAAAAAGTTTCTTTGTTGTCGGGATATAAGGTTAGAACTACGCCTGAGAATGCTTCGATGTTACGTGTTCTCTACTCTTCTTTATGGTCTGAAAGCTTGGACACCAAAACAAGTTCATCTGAATAAGTTGGCCGCCTTTGAATTTTGGTGTTACAGAAGAATCCTACGAATATCATGGATTCAAAAAATGTCAAACATTGAAGTAACTAGAAGGATAGGAAATGAGGCAGAAATAATATTAACTATTAAAAGACGAAAACTTGAGTACTTGGGACATATGATGAGAGGGCAAAAATACGCATTATTACAACTTATTATGCAGGGCAAAATCCGAGAAAAGCGAAATGTGGGAAGACGAAAAATATCCTGGCTTAAGAACTTAAGGGAATGGTTTGAATGCAGTAGTGCAGACCTTTTTAGAGCGGCAGTCAACAGAGTCGGCATAGCCATGATGATTTCCAACCTTCGATAGAAGATGGAACTTAAAAAAGAAGAAGTGAAACGGATTGCCTCTTCTAACTCAGTCTTTCCCACGTCTTGGATTGGCCGTTTGGGAACTTTGTTATGTTGTAATTAATACTTTAAAAGCCTTTCTGAAGATAAGGTACTTTTTTTTAATGTTTTTTGCAGAATTGTCGAAAAAAAGGACTTTTTATTTTATCTATTATCAAATCAGTTTTGACATAACATTCCTGAAGTAATGAATCTAACAGTTTTTCTTGTTGGCGGTTTATATCCAGGAATCCACCTTGCAAACGTTTTAAAAGCTGGTTCTTCACCTATAGAAAACAGATGAAACGAGTCTTTGCATAAGTTTAGTAAATCAATAAGTTTAGTCAAGAAAAAGAAACTGATAAAGATGACTTAAGTCCATTGTGTATTTTTGATGAATTAATTGGACATGACTCATCTAAACATACAACTGTATCGAGAGATATACAAGAAGTCGACATGTATTTGTCTGATAATATATTACCCACAATAAATTTCGAACGGAGATTGGAACTGTCCATTACCGTGGTGGAAAAACCATCGCCATGTATATCCTAACTTAGCCACTATATTCATAAAATATTGTAGAATTGTAACAAAATCTTTTCCTTGTGAACACATGTTTAAAATCTGGTTTAATTTTAAATAAAAGAAGAACACGGTTAACAAGAAAAGTAGAAAAACTTGTTTTTAAATGTCAATTTAGACGATTCGCGATTTAATAATAACGTGTAATGTAAATGTAAGTACGATTTAATGTAAATGTAAGTACTATTTGTATTGTTTAATTTATTTTTCAAGTTATAATAAATATATCCTTCGTTAGGTTCTTTCACTTCAATACTTATACACATAAACGATAATAGCCAATATGTTTGTGTACTCGCTAATTTGAATCAACTAGTTACAGTTTACGAAAAACGGTTCCGATAAAAATTTAAAAAACGGGAGGACCCACCTCTAGTTTTTTAGGTATATTAGGATCGGAACCAGAGAATATGTAAAATATCTCTGATCGGAACTATTCGTCTCACTAATGGCCAATAGGTGTTAAAAATATTTGAGGAGGGGAGACCAAGGGGAAATATGATTGTTATCTTTGTCTATTCGCTGAAAATATGATTTTATATCTGCGTTAGATATCCTGTTAAATTTTACCATACCGACCATAAAATTTTTCCTACACTGTATTTTTATTCCCTTTGTCATCCAATCCAAATTCTTAAAAGCATGTTCTAGCACCGTATTAAAAAGTTTAGGTGACATTGGGTCTACTTGTCTAACCCCCCGTTCTATTTTTATGCGATTACTGTTAGTATGTAATTTGACAGTGGTTGTTGCCTGCAGGTATATTTTGTATAATAATTTAGTATATTTATAATCTAGCCTGCATTCTTTAAGCGCCTGTAATATTTTGCTTAGCTCAACTGTGTCAAAGGCTTTGTGAAAATCGATAAATATTAGAACTAGAGGTTTATTGTATTCCACTGCTTTCTCTATTAGGGTTTTTATACTTTGTAGATGGTCATTTGTTCCGTGACTTTTTCGGAATCCTGCTTGTTCCCTTGGTTGATAAGTCTCTAATTTTCCTTTCATTCTCTTAACTAGTATTCGCGTAAACAACTTATATATATGGCTGAGGAGGCTAATCGGTCTGTAATTCTCTAAATTTGCTTTGTCTCCTGCTTTGTGTAATAGAATCATAGTAGCGTTGTTCCAGTCTGTTGGAATATTGGCGCTGTAAAGGCAGATATTGAAAAGTTATTAAATTTTTTCAAGTATTTACATCCCCTCCAATTTTTAGTGCTTCTGATACTATTCCATCTTCATCCGGGGTTCGATTATTTTTCATGTTCTTCAGGGCTTCTTTGATTTCTGATTTTGTTATATTGGGCATTAAATCTGATCCTTGGTTTAATACCCCAGTTTTTAGTGTAATTGGAGGTTCCGTATTGTTATCTTTTTTTCTTGATCTATTTTTTTTTAAACTTTCATGTTCTTATTTTTCTCTATTACCTATTTTATTTTTTCTACATTGTAGTTTCTTATGTCTTTTCTTATTGCCTTTGTGATCGTCTTATTTATTTGATTTATCGCTTCTTTGCTTGCAGTGTTATTTCCTTTCATTTGTCGCCTTAGTTCTATAAGGGTGTTCGTGGGTTGACTCAGTTTTTCATCTCTTTTGCTTGTCGGACAATATTTAGTTTGAGCCTGTTGCATTGTGTTGACTATTTGTTTGTTCAATATATTGATGTCAGCTGTTGTTGTATCTTTCAATGAATTCCCAATATATTTTTCGAACTCCTGAATGTTAGTTGGTTTTGTCTATTTCTTTGGTTGTTTCTTATTTATCATTTTGAGTCTTTCTTTTTCGGTTGATATCGTTATTTTAGCTCTTACTAACCTATGATCACTGCTTGTACTGAACTGGTTTAGCACATTTACGTCTTTAAATAATTCTTTTTTGTTTGTTAAGAAATAGTCGATTTCGTTCCTTGTTTTTCCATCAGGACTTTCCCATGTCCATCATCTGTGTTTTTTCTTTTTAAAGAAGCTGTTCATTTGATAGAGATTGTTTTCCAAAAGGAAAGTCAGTAGTTGTTTGCCTCTATCATTTCTGCCTTCGCTTCCAAAATTTCCCAATATTATTTCAGAGGGGTCTTCCTTAGTGCCTATTTTGGCGTTGAAGTCACCACCTGTTATTAAGAAGTGGCCAGGATTTTCCTTGCCGTACCTATATAATTATTTTGAATATGTAATATAAATTAACTTACTATAGTTGCTTACATTTTGTGTATATTTTACAGGGATTCGTTCATGTTCGAGTATGGTTTCCACAATTTCCAGGTGTGGTAATGCAATCAGATCAAGAACTTATAATAATGTGTAAACCTCCTGAGCCAACTGTGATAGAGAACAAAGCAGCAGGATTTGCTGGAAGCTTGTAAGTATTGTAGATAACATAATATATGCTAATATTTAATAATGTTTGCCACTTATTTGATAATGTGTAAAGTTTCATAATGAGCTATGTTTAGAAAAGTTTACGTGTAACCTTATTTAGTTACATACTTATTTTAATTACTTATTTTATTGTGTGTTATTATTTTTAAATCTGTCGCAGTAAAATTGGCATCTCTACATCTTTTATTAAATTTGAGATCTGTCAATCTGAGAACCACGTGTGTGAGTAAAATCATTAAAATTAACCCCAAATCGTATATTTGTATTTAAAAATAAACTCGAAAATGTTTTTGATTTTTTTATTACTTCGATATGGTTGCGAACCGTGAACTCGACTATTTCCACAGGTTTTGTTGACTTAGAAACTTTACCGCTTGCGTAGGGGTTGCGATAAGACAAGTCGTTACATAAATATAACACTGGCCCTGCCAAGATGATGTCGCTCCAATGAATTGTTACACCCGAACGTAATTCTTAGGGGTGAACATTTTTCACAGGTTGGGTTTAATTAAATTGCGTTTGCTTGCAAGATGATCAGAACCTCAGTCAAATTCATCTAATATCCTAATATTTTTTATAATCCATTTTTGTTTTGACAGTGAGCAACACTGTGTAATTTATATAATTAATTTTGCAGTTAGAAATATGTATAAGTCAGAACACTAAAATTAGTAATTCACAATAAAACTATAACCGTACTATGTATATCATTATTTTCGTAAACTATGTAAAAAAACAGCATGTAATGTAAAGGAGCAGCCTTATTTAAAACAAGTGCAATGCACACCTTAAGTTCAGCTCTGATGAACACATTCGAGCACCAACCTTTCAGCCTCTAACTATAATTCTCTGTATTTTTATCTTATTTTACGGTCACATTCTCGTCAAATATTCAACCCACATACAGGATGACTATATGTTCGCAATAATAATTTCCAAATGAAAATCTTTTGTATATCTTAGATTTTTAGTTGCAATGTTTATTTATTTAATTAAGACAAGTGTTATAATAGTGCAGTTATAATTTATTTTCCGAAGGGAAAGATTGACTACATGGAGCCATCAGGCAGGTGCGGAATTTCAATGGGTGAAAAAATGCAAAAATATTGTATGCAAAATGCTTGCATACAACATTTTTTCTATAGTCCTATCTTGTTCTAATGGAGCCTATTTTCTGGAGATCTCGGCGACTACACTGACCCATTTTATTGTATTCACAGCAGCTCTAAATAAATCAGTTGACGAGACCAGTCTATTTCCTTAGATTTTTCAGTCAGGATATATGTCTGCGTCCAGGTCTTCTCTTTCCCTCAATCTTGCCTTATATAATCAATTACTATTTAAATCGGAATAAGCCACAATTAAAAGTTAAAGTACAAAGGGTAAAGTAAAAGGAAATCGTTCTATTTTGAGAACCATTTCCGAAGTGGAAATTGAAACGTCAATAAACGTACTTTAACCTTTAATTATGGCATACTCCCATTTAAATAGTAATTACTTTAAAATGCCACAAAAAAATAGGTTCAGAACAATATTATAATCAACAGTCCTATACAAATTATCAAAATCAAAATCGATATTTGGAATTAAATAAACTTCTTCAGTAAATTACATCTAGTGACAAAAACATAATGAAGTGATATAAGTTTGAATGCTCGAATAAATAAACTTTGGTCAAATGAAAGACATTTTCTTCCTAAAGCATCTTCAGGGGCATTTCGTCAAATTTGGGCTATCCAGCAATCTTTGAGAATGTCATATCCCTGATGCTAATCAACATATAGCTTCGCCGTTTTATAAAAAAATTTAAATTGTTTGCCTTGTGTCGTGTAGTGTTAATGTACAATTTTATGTTTATGATATTCTCAAAGATTGTTGGATAGGCCAAATTTTACGAAATGCCCCTGAAGATGCTCTAGGAAGCGAAAGTACTTGGGCAAGATTTACTTAATAAGCTGTGCTCGATATCTGCCTTTAATTTGATCAAAATACAATAGTATATTAAAAAAATAAACAACTAAATTATGAATATTTGTTTCCTTTCGCAATGTAAATATTGAAAACTCAACGGTTTGGATGACTAATGTAAATTTTGATCCAGTCATATTTCGTTTTGTTTAATTCATGGATCAAGCTTCATTTAAATTTTAAATATTTAAAACCGCCAAATTCGTTTCTGTTTGATTCTCATGATATGATGTTGAAGTTTGGCAAAATGATGTTGAAGGAAAATACAACTGATATTGGGACCTTGTAAAATTCGTGAAACAGAGTTCATTTTTGTATTGAATGGATAATTCATCACATATCTTTATAAAACAGCAGTGCATTTTCATGCTTCATGTTGCTTTAATTGAATAATACATATCTCTACTGAATCAACTAGAAGTGATGCCGAAGACGTCGAAATGTGTCACCTGTATATTGTTCTGGATACGGTAAATTTACATATTACGATTGAAATTAGCGATAAAAATTTCTAAAAATTGTTTTTACATACTAAATACTTGTTTTGTACATTTTTCATTTCTATACGCTAAAAAGAAATGGTTACTGATTATGTTGTTTTTTTTTGCCTAGGACGAGCATATTTTTGATAGAAATGTATTAAATTAAGATATCTACTGGTTTATCTAATAACCGTAAAACGCCGATTTGTATGTGTTTTTGAATATGAAATCTTCGTCTTCTTATTCTTCTTTTTTGTAGCCATGACTGGGGGATAAGGCAATGGACAGGGATTAACGACATACAATCTCTGATACATATTGCAAGAAATAGAGAATTAATGGAAAATGTGATCGCTAACATCCATTAGTGGATTTGCATCTGAAGAAGAAGAAGAAGTTTATTTGTTATCACTTTGATTATTAATTTTGGTGTTGTGTTTAATAAATTAATTTCTCAAAGCAAAGTATTAGGATGCTTGATCTCCATTCTTATTGAATTTAGTTTTGTTCCATTATTTATTGGATTAGTATTAATAATTGTTTGGTCAGATCTGGTCCTACGTACTTTAAGATTTAAGATTTCGTTAAGTATTCTGTCCTCTTCTGATGATTTTCTATTTCATCTTAAAACAATTGATTAACTAGAAAGATTAACTAGAAACTCACCCCAGTCAAAGGTTTCTTCTAAATGTGCCTTCTAAATGTACGTACATTTTTTTTGTCGTACTTTTATATGACCCACAAAACGTACAAGAAAACGTAGCGTGAAAACCGGCCTTTAGCATCTGCAGGTCTTCTTCCATACATCAACCCATCTCATTCGTGGTCGTCCTCTGCTTCTTGTGCCCTCTCGTTTTGAAAATGTTAATCTCTTAGTATATTCGTGATCTGACATCCTAGCAATGTGCCCAGCCCATCTAAGTCTCTGCACTTTAACGAACTTCACAATATCTGAATCTCAAAGTTGTATCTTCGACGCCATAGCCCATTTTCATTTACGGCCCCAAAAATCTTTCTAAGAATTTTTCTCTCAAAAATACCAAGAAGTCTTTCATCATTTGGAGATAAGGTCCACGTTTCAGCCCCATATATCAAAACCGGTCTTATTAAGGTCTTGTATATATTAAGCTTTACTGCGTTTATTTCTTACTAAAATATAATTACAAACTTAAATATTTATTAATGTTTCTTGCTTAAATTTGAGAAATTTCAATAAATCAGCCGATAAATGTGTAACGTTAGCTCCTATTTATTGCTTGCAGTTAACCCATTTGTTTTACATTTTTGCTAAAAACGCCAATATTATCTATATAAATATCTAGGACTGCGATTTTTTCACCGTTACCTCAGAATGTAACGAAGCAGAATGAATAGTCGGTTGCATCTGTGCGTGTATGTATGTGAGATGAATACGTGTGTGTTTTGATCTACAGAATGTCCTAAAATTTAGATAATATTATCTTTTAATATTTTAACGAATATTTTGACTAAGAAGTAAAGCAACAGGATAGTAGCTGAAATCATAGTCAATATTCTTATTTAGATACCAATTATTAAGAACAATGCATTGTTTCTACCCCATTTAAAATACATTAGAAGTAGTCAATTACATACATTATAATAAAAAAATCCACATGTCGGATGGTATTTAAACATAGGTAACGTACCTCGTAAAGTAGACTTCTTTCTAATCTTGACTTCCACCAATTTTAAGCATCTTTCCTTCAATTATCTATTTTTGTAAATCAGGGCTCATTCTATTAAATTATGTCTACAACTGTTTTCAGGTCTGTACCATCGATCTTTCGACTTGAATACATATTTTAAAATAGAATATTTTAAAGTTGTACTAGTGGTATATTAAATGGTATAATAAGCAATAGTAGATATGCTGGCGATATAGCCATTCTGACAGACAACAGAAGACATCAAAACATAGTTAAGATTATCAATGAAGTAAGTTGCTTTTCAGCCAGATTAACATTTTAAAAACAAAATGGAGAGCAGTTAAGAAAGGAAATGTAGATCAGTGTCAGCCTTGGTTAGATGGAGAGAGGATAGAAGGTGTAAAGCATTTTAAATAGATTAGCAGCTGGTTGAATGTGAGTGGTGATACTTATGAATCCAACCCTATGTAATAGAAACATTTAAATTCATATTCGTGAAAGGGTGACATATTAAGTGTGGTCTGCCCTATCATACAGTGGTGATACACGGACATTACAAACCACAATGCTGAAGAAATTGGAAGTATTTGAGATATGGTACTATCGAAGGAATCTAAAGATATCTTAAATCGCTCAGAGCTTCAATGAAGATGTTTTTCGAATGATAAATATATACCAACTACTATTTAACATTATAAAGAGAAGAAAAATAGAATATTCCAGCTACATAGTTAGTGGGCCAATAAATCATCTTCTTCGCCTTATAATACAAGGAAAAGTGGAAAGAAAACTTTGAATACATCGAAAAAAGCTCTCTTGGTTGCCTATGATCGGGAAATGGTGTAGTCCCACGGTAGCAGGAT